GCAGATAACCAATAACACTAAACCGTAAAGACTCCATGTTAAGATTCCATGCTTGGCCGGGACATTTACATTTGTAAAAATTCGCCCATTTTTCGGGAAAATAGGTTTGAATCCACCAACTGTTCTTTTATAAGCTTTTGTTTAGCATCACTGCACTTTATTGCCTTTCTCTTTATTCTATATAACTTTTCTTTATCTCTAGACTGCACTCTTTTTGATGTTATTTCTGATCCAATTGACCAATTCTTCTCTCTTTATCCATTAGCCAATGTCTTTGTTGATGATGACTTCAATGATCATCACATGTTTCTGATCCTAGTCAGTTCTTAGTTTCGAAACATTCACCCTTAGGTGCTTTTGATCACGGGTCAGAAGCACCTAAGAGTGCTTCTGATCCGTGATCAAAAGCACCTAATCCGATTTACAGAAAGTTGATCTCTTTAAAATTATTATTTCATTCTTCTTCATTATCAGAATCCCCCGATCATTTTATCTCTTACAGCTACTTTAAAGCTGACTGGAACTCTTTCCGTGGTTTTCTTCGTGATGACCTTTGGGTAGAAGTCTTCCTGCTAACAAATGTGTTTCTTACATAACTTGGATTCCGAGTTGCATGAAATTTTTTATTCCCTCTCAACAGTTTCAAGTCAAGCCTCACTCTTTTCCATGGTTTTCCTCACATTGTGCTGCTACAATTTTCAATTGAAACCATTACTTCCATAACAATCAGCAAAACAGTTCTGCAGAAAACAGACGTCTGTTTACTATTGTTAGAAATCATCGTAAAAAGGTTTTGTCTAACGCTAAAGCCCGCTATTCTTAGATCATGAAATATCGTATTTCATCTTAAAAGTTAGGCTTTCGTGACTTCTGGAGAATCTTTAACTGTATCAAATTATAAGGGCAAATCTGTTATTCCACCTCTCTTGTATGGTTCAGAATTTGCCACCTCAAGACAAAACTGAATGGTTTGCTAAGAACTTTTTATTAATATCATTTTTTTGATTCCACTAGCTGCGTTCTACCTGATATAGCCGATGATTAGGTTGATCCATTGCTTGACATTTTTATCACTCCATCTTCTGTATCTAAAGAGATTTCTTGCTTAGACTCTTCTACAGCTTGTGGTCCGGATAACATACCTGTTATAGTCTTGTAGTAGTGTTTTTTGGAACTGTCATCTGTACTTTCAAAACTATTTAACAAGTGCTTATCAGAGTCTTGTTTTCCAGTTTGCTTGAAAGCGGCATCTGTTATCCCTATTTTCAAAAATTCTGGAGAGCGATTTGACTCATCGAACTACCGTCCCATTAGTCTTCTTCCTATCATTAGCATGTTTTTTGAATCTTTAATTAACAAACACTTAATCTCTACTCTTGAATCTAATAACTTACTTTTTGATTATCAGTATGGATTTCGATCTTCTCGTTCTACAGCTGATTTGCAAACAGTAATAACTGATAGGTTTTATTGTGCATTAGATAGAGGTGGAGAGGTTAAGGCTTTTGCTTTTGACATTTCTAAAGCTTTTGATAAAAATTGGCATGCTAGTCTTCTCCATAAGCTTTCATATTATGATGTATCTGATAACATCTTTAAGATTATTGAATCCTTCTTTTCTAATTGTAGTACAAAAGTTGTCCTCAATGGACAGCACTTCTCTTTACATCCTGTAACTTCAGGGGTTCCTGAAGTTCGATCCTTAGCCCTATTCACTTTTTAATTTACATTAATGATCTTCCAGATATTCTCACATCTAAGGTGGCATTGTTTGCTAATGATACTAGCAATTACTCTCGTTTTGATATGAAGCCAACACTCTCTGATTGCTTGTAGGAGATATTTGAGCTTGAAAAGGATCTTCTGCTACAGCATTGGGCTCACAGTTGCTGGTGAACTTTAATTCAGATAAAACCCAACTTTTTTAAGCCAATTGTTATTGCAATAATTTAGATCTTCCTATATCTATGAACGGTAATGTACTTGATGAGTCATCTACACTTCATCTTCTAGGATTAACTCTTACTTCCAATCTATCTTGGAAACAATAAGCCAAAAAAAGAGCTAGCATCTTTTGTGCCATCTACTAAAATTCATTCACGTGTTACTCGTCATTCAATTAAGTCTCATTATTTTTCTGTGACTGTTACTAAGTGCCCTAAAAACTCTTTTTTGTCTAGTTTTTTTCCTCGAACATTAGTTCTTTGGAATTTGCTTCCTTTGTCTTGTTTTCCTTATTCATTTAATTTGCAATCTTTTGAGTCGTCTGTCAATCGTTATCTTTCTCTATAAACTTCATCTTTTCTCTTTCAATAACTTCCAACTCTAAAAGTGATTGTTGCAGGCTTGTTGGAAGCAAAGCAATTACATATATAAATATACCAGATTATACGCCGATGATGGCGTAATCATTTGAATTATCGATGTCAATGAATTTTCCTCTGATTATGAAAAACTGCAAGCGGACATCGACAGCGTTGTAAATTAGTTGCACAACTGTCTTGTGAATTTCAACGTCGAGAAGTGTAAGTTGATTGTCGAAAAAACTAACTGATAAAGCCATGGTTGACATTGACGGTAACGGATGTAATTTAGTTCCAACATTCATTAAGCGTGACCTTGGAGCACTAATATCTGACAACCTCGTTTATAGTCAGTTTTTCAGTCTTTATGCATTCTAATTCGAATTTTTTAACGCATTACCAGTACTTGTCGCAGAAGGTGAACGACGTTTAAGTAAACTAAAATTGAGTTAAAAAAATGATTGTTGGGCCACAATAAAAGAAGAATTTCAATTGGAGATAAAACTCTGTTGCAAGATGACATAAAAGTAATAATGATTTTAGCTAGTTAAAAAAAACAAAAAAAGTGTTTTCAATACTTTAAAGAATCTGTTTAATAATCCAAATCAAAGGTAAAAGATTGACTTATGTTTCTGAAAAAAATTTATATTTATATTCTAATATTGAGTCTTAGCATCTTTCAACTGTAGAAAAGCAATGCATCGACATTGACTTGAAGAAACCAGACGTTAAAGTAGACTGTTATCAATTTTGTTCCAAGCTTTTTAAACTGCAACAGTCAGCTCGTTTCTCAATCCAAATTGCTACAATGATCCCCACAGGTTTTCAATAGGATTTTTTTTTTTAAGGTTATTTAGGTGCTCCCAGAAGTCCTTACGGTCTTATTGCGGAGCATCGTGGAAGAGAAGTTTAAGCAGCCGTGGCGCAGTGGTAGCACACTTGCCTCAGAAACATAAAGTCCGTGGTTCAAACCCCACCTCTGGGCAAGTTTTGCGACATCGGTTGGGAAGGAGGTGTGAACTTCCTATTAAATGCTCTTTCGCGGTGCTCTGTGATAAGACTGTAAGGACTTCTTGGGGCACCTAAAATCAATATTAAATAAAAAAAAAAGTTTAACTAGAACTTTACGCATCCTTTCTTACCAATGTCGCTTATTGGGCTAGAGCTGGCGTTGAACCTCAGACCTCTGGGTTCTGAGACAGAACTCTAACCACTGCGCCACGGCCGCTCTAAATTCAAGTTTCAAGGCAGGGGATTTGGGTTGCCAGTCCATAACTTCAATATTCATTTTTTTAAGACACTCTTTTATTACTGATGAGGATTAAATACTTGCTTTATCCTGCTGGAAAAGGAACTCAACAACATAGTTTAAATGAGCGAAGAGTAACAAATACTCAGAAAAAAATATCAATTTACTTTTCCTTCCGCGCAAAAAACTACCCCAAACTATGATGGATTCACCACCAGATTGACGCTTAGAAAAAACTGCTTTTTTGTCTTAAAACGTGCCAATAGATTTGTAGTCCATCTGGACCGAATGAATTATATTTTTTTATCCAAAAAATTAACTTTCCCCCGCTTGGAATTGTACTAGGTTACATGCTTTGTTGTCATTCAAGACGGTTCTTTTTATGGGTCCAAGTGAGCATCTGAGATTGCCTAAACGGCTGCTAAAATTAAAACTTTGTAGGTTGGGCTATCTAGGGCGCTGCGAATCGGCAGTTTTTATTTTGAATTGAATCTCGAATCAAAGAAGATTCGAATCACGTTTCGAATCGACCTTTTGAATCTAAATTTAAGTATTTTTTCATTTAATAATACATATTTCAAAATAAAAATAAAATAAAAAATTGTATAATCTTTTTATTGATGTTTCTTGCCCTGGTTAATCTTTTTAATGACTGGTTAAAAAGGTATTTAAGGATAAGTAACGTTATTTCGAAAGCGCAGAATATCTAAAATACCCACCACAAAAACAAAATGAGTAAGGATTCGATTTTTGAAAATTTTCGAATAGCATCTCGAATAATCTTTTTGATTCGATTCTATTCGAAATTTCGAAGCTTTGCAGGGTTCAAGGGCTATCATTATTGTTTGCACTGTAAGTATATTTGATTGAAAAACTATTAAGCAACATTATTTTAAATAATTAAAACAAAATGCTATAATATAAGTTTATAAGAGCTCAGATTCTTGCTTCTAGAACATCCATCTTAAAATCAACACCGATTTCAAAATCGTTTTTTTTTAGTCCAGGGTGTTCTTGAGCCTCTTAAACAAAGGATAGTTGAGCGAAGTATCTCAAAAGATAACTTTGTTTTTAAATAATAGCATTTTTATTTTGTTTTTATTAATAGTTTTATAAATGTTTTCGAGTCTTTTCCTGTAGGCGCATTTTAAAACTCTCCTTTGGTAAAAAACTGTTGTGAGAGTCTTCTTTCAAAATGAATCGTATCTCAAGTTTCTTTTTGCAAGTCATTGTTATGGAATTTAAATTTTTTCATTTTTTGTATAACGCTTTACGGAAGGCAAATTTAAATTCCGTAATAGCATTTAAAATACGGTAGATAAAGTAGCAAATTTTTTGCAAGTCTTGTATTTCGCCAAAAAACCCTAGACTTAATACTGATGGGAATACTTAATAATGGCGATAAAATACTGTTAAATAATACAATACAATAACAAGTATAAAATTACCTTCCACTTTTAAAGAGAACAACTTCGAAATTTGTGTTTCATTTTTTTCACCCACAACGCATTTATAGCTTCCATTATCAGTAATCAGTAAAGAGTCAAAGTTTAAGATGTATAAATGTTCAAAATCCAATTCGTAAAAAAATCTATTGATAAAAAAAATTATAACAATAGCAATTCTACAGATAAATCAATTCTGACACATTATTATTATTAGTAATTTAAATTCAGATTTTTTTGAGCTAACAATCTAACAGGTTCACATGATATAAAAAACGTTGAAAATGAATTAAAAGCCGCATTTTTTTTATTTTTGTATCTTTTTACTAAAAAATAAAAACCTTCAAAAAATGATGGGGTCCTAAATTTTATGTGGCTGTATTTTTTGAGTGCCAAAACATATCTTAATAAAAAATAAAACCTAATTATAATTTATATTTGGATTCAAGATAATAGTTTTTTTTTTTTTTAATTAATTTTGCTCAACAAGGGGAATTCACATGGTTTTTGCTCAAATCAAAGTTATTTTTAGTGATTAATTGCAAATAAACTAATAGCAAGTTAATGATATAAATACGACAAAATTTAGGCAAATTGGTCTCAATAAATTACGTCAACCGTCTGTTAATTTGTTTAAACTAAACTATTTACATGAATTATAATATTTATTATATAAAAATAATCTAATACAAAAATATTAAACAAAAACGTTTTGATACAAAATGATCATTTTGTATTTCTCCTTTTATCTGAATGAAATCTTTTTGCAGACTCGAGTCTACATAAAGCAAGATTTTATTCAAATAATAGGAGATAAACCTGTTTATATTGTGTTTTTTATATTGTTTTGTCTTGCTTATGATAAACGTGTCGATAAAGACAAAAAATCTCTTTAGAGAAGAATAGTTTTTTGACTTTTCGATAAATTTATTAGAAATACAATCGGCAGGACTTCCAGAAGATGATAAGATCTTATCATGAAGCCAATTACAATATTAAATATAATGAAAGATAATCAAAATAAATCAATAAAAAAAAATCAACATAAACAAAATATATCAGTGTATACAAAAAATGTATATAGGGGAAGTTCGTGTACCTAGGGCCGGATTTTTTCAATGTCCAAAGTTATGGTTTTTATTATGCGTAATATTTTCTCCTTTCTTGATTCAATTTTTCTATTATATCGTATTTTAAAAATTGTTTAAAAAAGTACTTAGTTCTTCCAGTAATAGGCCGATAACAACAGCTTAGTACAATGTTTTTTAGATTTTTTGCTTATAATTCTAATTTTTAAAAGCTCTTGAACTCCATCAGAAACACTCATATTGCGTCTAATTTTAAAAGGATATTTTCTTTTACATAAAAAGAACTCTTCTTTCTCGCTTCTCAAGAGCTTTTTCCTTCGCCTATTAATTTTTCTGAAAAAAACTCATTTTAAAACCTGAGAGATTCAGACGATTAGAATTAAAATTTTCTGCATCTATTTCTAATCATCTCCAATTCTTTAGAACACCACGTTTCCATAAAGCAAATTATTTTTAAAAAATATCTGTTTCACAAAATATTGGATTCATCGTCTAAATTTAAATAGGTACCTTGAAAAATTTTAAGTGTTTTTTTAAAGTTATTGTTATTAATTTTAGCTGTTTTTGTAACCAATTATTTAGGATAAAAAAGAAAAGCAATTAAGATTTTGTGATTATTTATTGTAAACTACTTTAGCGTATTTACAGTAAGTTCTTTGGCTTCGGTGTAGAGTTAAGTATTTACAGTAAGTTCTTTGGCTTCGGTGAAGAGCTGCTCTCAAATAATTATCATACTCTCGCTAAAATCTTTATTAATGTATACATATTCGTTACAGAGTTTCACTTTTTTGTATTTTTCAAGAATATGTTTGTGGTCATTTAAGTTTAGAAACTTCACGACAATAGTTCTTTTCCTTAAATTTTTCTTTCCCATTATCCTATTTTTCTGTGTACGGTTTTGTATTTTCCTGTGTACGCTTTTTTATTTTCCTGTGTACGGTTTTCTCTTTCGATTTCGATAATTCACTTCTTATTTAATATCAGTTTTTTCTTAAAAATCTTTTTTTAATAATTCCTCATTTTTTTCCATATCTCACATTCAATTTTTTTTCAATATCATTTTTAGAGGAGACAGTTTGAACTTTTAAAAGATTTTGAAGGTCCTTCCTTGTCGTTTTATTTCTAAAATTGCCCCTGGATCATGAATTAAATCTGAACCTAAATTCTTATCTTTTTAGAATTTCCGGAAGCTGAATACAAACTTATTTAAAAAATATAAAAGGTAAAGTTACCAGTGAAAGTGTGGAGACTTTTTTCATTTTTCAAAATTCATTTTGTTCAAAATGCTGTCAAACTGTTGGTGCTGGTATCCGTTATCCTTGTTACAACAAAAACAACTGCTCAAAATATGCACGCCTTATTTACTTCAAAAAATAAATATTTGCTCACAAAGTTGTTTCTTGTACGCTAAAAGAAATATCTGTTGTTGGGGATTGTAAAAATATAAAATTCGCACCAGAAAGAAACGCTATAAAGCATATAAAAGGTGAAACAATCATGAAATTGAACATCTTTATAACTGTGCAGTGCTAAGAGCAATAAAGGAGATAAGAAAATATATTAAAAGATCTAGAATACAGGAGAACATCTATGCTGTAGTGACAGGTCACGTTCTTTGAGTAGGTTTTACAATGTGATAAAGTGTTAACTCAAAAACGGTTAAAAAATTTGTCAAAAAGATATAGTTTATATTACTGACCTATCTATGCTGGTAACTAAATTTTGTTCATTTAGAAAATTGTATTTTTTTAATTCTATTGTACGTGTTGGTATTGATAGAGGACAAAGATCTCTAAATTATTATTAAACTAAAAAGCAAAAGATACAAAACATTTAAAAACATACTAAAACAAAATAAAAAGCAAGATTATTTTATCGAGTAATTTTATTGAATAATTAATTTTAGTAATTTTAATTTTTTTAAATTAAAAAATGTTAGTTTTAAAAAAAGTAATTTTATCGAGTATGCTTATATAATAGTTATTTTAGCAAAATTTTGCAAAAAAAAAAACTTTATTTTCAATGAAAACTTTGTTTAATTTTAATTATTGTTAAACTCAACCAATATATCGAACAGAAGAAAGTTTTAATTCTTCAATTAAATCTTTTTAAATAGAATCCGGTAATTTTTCTTGACAATGATGTTATTTTATTACTTGTATTCAAATCAAATTGAAATTATCTGATCTAAAATAAAACAAAATATAATCGATTAGTTTAACCAATGTTTAAGAAAAATATTTTGCAAAGTACTGCAAGGTTTTCTTTTGTTTTTAGCTTTTAGAAACTATAAAGTATATAGATGTTTTTATACCTTGATATATTTGAATATAGTGTATTATACCTGTAACTTCTTTCTTTTAAAATTTTATCATCTTTAAACCATATAATAGTTGGCTTCTCATTTGTAGTTATTTCGCAATTTAAATAGACGCTACCCCCAATATCACCATTAATTTGATATTTGCTTTCACGGCTGAAGTACTTGAACGAATCTATTCAAACACGATGAAATATTTTAACAAACTTTCATCTTTTAGAAGTTTTAAATTTTAAAAGATAGTGAATTTATTTGATAGTTAAACGTATTTCCTACAAAATGTTTTGGCGCAATGAAGCGGCAAAGTTTTTCTTTTTGTGTAATTTATGGTATTAACGATAAAACGATCAAAAAACTGTGTAGTTCTTTGGCTTATATTTACACTTAAATTATTCGGTTTATATTCATATATGAATAACGTTTTAAGATCTTTTTTATATATGAATATATTTTTTAATTTAACAAATTAAACAAAAAATTCAAAGAAAAAGCAGAAAATACCCCTACATTTTGTATTCACTTTTTCGGTTTGAGTTTCAGCGTATGACGGAACTAGCGAGATATCAATTCTTGGGTGTGAGATATTGATAGGTCTCAATGTAAAAAAATTGGGCGAACTATATGCTTCAAGAGCTGTGGAGTTTGTAAAAATTGCTAAAAAACATTTTAAGTATATATATATATACTTTAAATTTATATTTATGAAATATTTATACCATTTAATATATATTTATTCTTTTATTCTTTTAATACAAAAGGTTTTACTCCTTAAAAAAGTTTTGTCTAAATATAAAAAAATAATTTAGTTAAAACCCAACATAAAGTTTTACTTACTAGGTTTCCAATTACAACAAAATATTGTAAAACCAAATACCAAAGTATTAAGTGATTTAAACATTGTTAGCAACATAAATTGTTTTGACTTTTAAAATGAATACGTTTGGCAGCGATTTTTTGCTCACGTAAGGTCTGCTAGTGGTTTTGTATAAACAACGGTTACAAAACTTTCATTGACTTTACGAATAAAATTTTGAAAAAACAAAGTTTAAAAAACATTACAACAATCTATTAATAATATCAAAATCAACGACTCTACTTATGTTAGACCATAAGTAGTTTAATTTTTTTTTGTGCAAGTAGCAAAGATATTTTTTGAAAGAAAGTGTTGTTGATTATTGCGTCACTATTCAAACCAACCAAATTCAAGACTAAGAAATTATTATTATGTCGAGATTTTCCTATTCCGACAAAAACTTTATTAAATCAATTCAACTCGCCACTTATAAATCGCCAGGGATTCTGGGATTAGGGATTCATTTATGTATTTTATTGTAGGTTTTCTCTGCAATAGGTGTATTCTCTAATTTCTAATAAAATTATTATTGACATTTTTAGGCCTTTTACTAAATTTTTAGTTCAAAATTTAATAACGGTATATTGTATTTTCAACAAACTGTGATATATACATAATCTTGTTTAAATATATGTAATATAGTTTTTATAGCAAAAAATGTTTGAAAATAAATTTAGAGAGAAATGTAATCTATAAAATACGTTTGCATTTTTTTTAATGTTAAAAAAAAATAAATACCTTGTTTAGTTTATTATCTTGAAATTTGTTTATTTATTATCGGTTGAAAGATAAAGCAATCAGATCGTAGCGATAATTAACTTATCATTTTTATGGGTTCTGAACCCTTTTTTAATAAATAGTTTTTTTCTGTCTTTATATCAAGTTTCATATTCGGAATTTAAGCAACGAAAAATTTGAGTACGAAAAAAACAAACAGTTTTTTTTTAAAAAAAAAAAAAAAAAATTACATTCCAAAGCAAACACGATCAAGTTGTTCAGCTTAAACCTTTGTTCAATCTATATAATTCTTAACAAGTCAAAAAACAATTCAAAAATAAATTTTATCAGATGAAAATCTAACTTAGATAATATGTTATGATATCTACATTATTATTACTATTTTTTTTTACAGTGAAGCATATTTATTTAAGAATTAAAAAATTTATTATTTTAAAGTTCCATTTTAACCTATTCCTAAAACAGGTTAAAACAGGTTAAAATTCCATTTTAACCTGTTTTACTAAAAAGTGTTACAGTGAAGGTGGTAACCCTAGAAATAATTTACTTTTTGAGTTCGAGCTATTTATTGATATTTTGTAGTAAAACTTAATTCTATTTCAAAAAATTAAAAAAAAAAATCTTTCAAAAATTATTTTTGCCTTGATTATCCAAAAATAAATTTGTTAAACTTCAAACAACGGGGTGTATTTAAAAACATAATATCTCACTATATAATAACTCTACCGCTTTGAAATTTTGCAGAAATGTTTGTTATATATAATATTTTCATTTGTCATTGAATTTTTTGATTTGCCTTGATAACTCTAAAATTATGCAAAATGTTTCAGAGTTTATTTATGAAGTCACTCAAATAAGTACTAAAATTCATATAAATCAGAAATTTTCTCATTATATAACAAAATCTTATGAGAAATGATTTATCAATATCTTATAAAAATGCCCTGAAAATTTCAATTCATAAATCCATACCATTTTTAGAAAACCATGTTTTGAAATGTGGAATGTCTCGAAAACTATTAAACCTGGGAAACGAGGCTTTTAATAAAGTATTTTAAAAATAATGCTTAAAAACCACCAGGTATATATGAAGTTTGTTTTTCATTTGCAACCTCAACATCCACTATGCCTTTTTTAACTTTTCTTAGTTTTTTACGCTGTTTTATAACCATATTAGAAGATTTGAGCTTCATATATTTAACACGCTTATTGTCAGCTTCCATTAGTTTCTTAGAAGTTATTTGTCCTTTAATTCCAAAACTTTCTAAAACAGATTTTACTCCTTCCCCACCAACATTAAAATGAAGAACTGCAGAATTAATTGCCAATTCAAAAGTTCTTCTGGATAAGAATACATTTTTAGGACAGCGAGTCCATATTATTGCGTTAAATGCTTCGTTTGCATTTTGTGTTTGTCCGTGGAGGCATTTGGTTAACAGTTTATTATCAGATAAATCTTGAAAAATTGGTTTCAGCTTTAAATGGTAAATTATCCATATTGGTAAATTAATTTTATCTTTATAAAACTTAGTACCATTTAGTTGATCAAGTTGCCACTTACCCCAAAAATTTTTATCTCTGGGACACATAGCATGGCGACACGCAGGATTTTTAAGTGCGGTGCAATGCTAGAGAATGGCTCCTATAGCTTTCTTCATTGCGTATACATTATCAGAATTTATCCGAATAGCAAGACCGTAGTAGTTTTGCATGAAATTAATAATAGTATCAGTAAGTTTCCCTTTACCATGTATTGGAGTTTTTGTCCCATTAAAGTTTTTCACTAAATTTCGAACTCTAGTACCAAGTTGCTTTTGTACATGTCCAATATGTTAACTCCATTCTCTTTGTAAGGATTAGATTCAACAACTTCTTTAAAAGAAGTATCTCCATCTCCTAAATATTGGGGATAAATTATATTGTTTTTTTGGATGGAACGTGCAAAAATTTGAATAGCACCGGCAGCTTCCATGGCACCAGAAGATTTAGTATGGTTTTTATAACAATCATGATTTACTTTCCATCTACCATGTTCAGGTGTACCTTCCTTGGATCTCCACATTGTACAACCTTTACAGTGTTTTGAGAAAGCCTGATAATCTAAAACTTTATCACCAACAACAGCTGTAACTACACCATTCAATGATGCATGACCTCTCTTCTGCCAAGAACCATCTATTGTAACGCGTTTGCAGACTGGCTGACTATTTGCTAGAAAAAATGCACTAGCAGCTCTTTTCATTGATACTTCAGTTTTCTTAGCATATGCAGTTGAACCACTGTTGTCATTCAAGTTGTCAAAAGCTGATTCACCAATACCATACATGTTAAAACAGTTAGTAACATTTTCAATGCTGCCTTTCCCCGACCAATCTCACGAAAACTAATGACTGCTCGAATATTTGACTCATACAACTTGCGACCACGTTTAGTTTTTCGATTAAAATTGTGGCACTCGTTACTTGTGAAACAGGAGTTAATCCAACCACAGCTCATACATTTCAATTCTAATAAATGAGCAAATCCCATTCTTTTTTTCAGGTTATCAATAAATTCTATTCGTTGTTTGTTATCACATTTAGGACAGTACGGGTAATTGGTAAAATTTGCTCAATATCCATAAACATAAAATATTTACTATCATCATTATTAATAGATTCAGTTACAAAACCTGTAGTTTTAAGTTTCCTGGAGCTTGCACATTCAGTTTCTAAATCTGCTTTAGTTTTGGTTTTTCTTTGGTTTTAACCATTAAATTTTTTTCTTTGGTTTTAACCATGTGGCGATTCTTTGGTGGTATTTTTTTCTTTTTTCTTTGCAAAAAATGTTTTGTTGAAATCATTTTTACTAACTAAAATTTAAATAATAAAAAATTCAGATAACAGACTTCAAAACAAAAAAGAAATTAGCCTTCGATAAGCAATTCAAATCACCAGACACACGTCATGCTTATCCTTTTAACTTAAAAAATGTTTTAGTTTTTGAAGTATAGCTAATAGTCACTTTATAGCTTTTAAGTATAACCATAAAAATACAGGCACTATGAAATCAGTTGCATCAGTTGCACACCGACAGAGAACTTAGTGTTTTATATCGTAATTTAAGCTACTTCTGTAAGAGAGCTACAGTTTGCACATGCTACAATTTAAAGCGATATATGTTTTCCAAAAGCACTAGCATGGTAAACAAATATTTGTGTATTTTATTATTTTGGTCTTTTATTTGTTTCTATAGTAATTAATTTTAATTTAAGGACTTCCATGATGCAAAACTTCTTTTTAATAATGCAGAATAAAATCGAAAAGAATTTCTGTCGAGTACCTTTTTTATAAAGTCAGTACATTGTCTTTATAAAAACAATAAAGACGTTTTATCTTTTTTATAAAGAGAATGTACTGACTTTTTATGTATACTAATATTTTCCCTTTAAATCTGAAATGTAACTTAGACTATTTTGCTTTTAAATAATAAATAACTAGTAAATGTCAGTAACAGAGCAGACATTGTCAATAAAATAAATTTTTCATGTCAATAATTTTGGGTAACATACTTAACATGTATGCTGTAGTTATAGTACCAAACATATTTCATTACAAAAATAGAATTTGTTACAAAAATAATAATAATTCACAAATATTATTCACAAAAATTATTGGGACTCATTACTTGACGATATCCAAAAACATTAAAAAAAGTAAGTAAGTGCAATACAAAATCTATTTTCTACATCTCTAATGATTAAACTTAAATACTTGTTAAAGTTTTATAGATTTTGCGACATAAGAAATTGACTCGCTAAAAAAGAGTTGAAGCTCGGCTGCAAACTTTGAAAAAATTAAAGATACTAGATGACAACTAACAGATGCAACAATTTATTTTTTACAAATTGCTTTTGAGATAAAAATCAGAAAACCTGAAAGATAAGTAATTATAATAAGCGTCACTATTTCATCGTACATCATCAAGAAACAATGGCTGGCAATTTCCACACGATCCCTCTGGTGTAGAAAGCTCGTGCAAATACAATGGTAATAAAATAAATGAAAATATAACGCATAATCCAGGACCGGATTTAACGGTCTATGTTGTTACTGATTAAGACATATTTGAGGAGTTAAAAACACAATAGATTTTGTAGCAAACAGGAGTTTATTTTTCCGAAAATATATTTTTTTTAAATCAAATTTTAAAATTTATAATATCGCAAATATATTAAAAACCCAATAGGTTTTGTAGCGAACAGGAGTTTTTTTTTTTCCGAAATTATATATTTTTTAAATCAAATTTTAAGATATATAATAAAAGTTGTTATCAATTGTTAATCATGAGGTAAACACAAGGGGAATTAGGACAATGTTTTTTAAGTGCAAAAAAGATATATATAAAAAAAAAGAAAATGCCCTCAAACTTATTAATCCAAACGCACTAATAAATTTTTTTAGATGAAAATGTCATTCTCAGTAAAGGTTTTAATGACTGATCATTTAAATCAACAAATATTTGAAAGCCAATAATATACAGTTTTTAAATTTTTGCATTATCTTTTTTCAAAAGAAAAATTTTTTCAATTTTAAACATTTTTTCAATTTTAAACATTATTGTTCGAATTTTAAATAAAAATTATGAAATTAATTATTGTGGGAATTAAAAGATGATTTTA